TTGTCAGTTGTGAGAAAGAGGACATTGAAGGTATGATGCTGATCCTTGCCGTGATGGATATTCATGAATCATTCCCTCCATTCTCACTTTTTAGTCGCTCTCAGCTCAGTAGAAACGGGCCTACACTGCCCGACAAACACATGGTGTGTTAGCATATTCCATTCAATATCAAGATGAAATGTTCACCAGGAACAGTTAGACACTTGTAGGATATAATTAAGATAACATAAAGATGAGATAGTAAAAGGAATATCTGCTCTATCTGCCTGCTTCACTGAACATTCCACATTCCAACATGTTTTTATATGAGCATTTGTCACATCTGATACTTTGTGTAAAAACATTTATGTGGACTCCAAAAAGACGACCTGCTTACTCTTTGCACTGCCTCGTTTTATTTGTTCAAATAAAGTCACGCATGTTCGAATCATTTAAATGTTATCCACAAGTCAGACCAACACGATATGAACGCGACCTATTTAAAGCTCTAAGCGATTACACGTTACCAAATAAACAAGACAAAAAATTAGGTTCACATAGAAATTGAAGTCGTGAGCGACCTCTGCTGTCAAGAACAACAGTTATATTTTCCTCAACAAGAAACAGAACAAACTCAAACCACCCGGGACCTGCGGCGCATGAATCACGCTTTTCCCACGAGTGTGTTTAAAAAGCTTCTCTGGTATCTATTGAGTCATTAGTAAACATCTGTTCCAATATGGCTACCTGGTAAAGTTATTCTTATAAATTTCTGGGAACCTGGATGTTAAATATTTTCAATTAATTTAATTGTCTGGGAGTAGAAGAAATGTTATGTGTTTATTTGTACATTTGTACTGTACGTATGGAGCCATATATATGCTGATTCCTTGAGTCTGTGAACAATATAGTGCATAAAGTGTACATTAGCTTTTGTATTTGATACCTTTGATTCGAATCATTTAATGTGAATGAGTACATCGAGTAATCTGCAAATTGTCTAGAGAACAAAAACGACTATCGACGTAAACAAGCACTTTGTGCTACTGTGTGCTGTTTTCAGGTACATGCTGTCAGATCAGGATGCACGCCATCCCTCAGCCGAAAAAGGTGGACAGATGGACTGAGAAGAGGAGCATGTATGGAGTTTATGATAACATAGGAATCTTGGGTGAGTATCCTCAGCATCCAAGAAAATTAAGAGGATGTACTGTACAACTGTTGGATGGTTAGTTTGCTGTTTCTAAGTCATAATGAGTAACTTAACTTGTTTTAAGGGCTGACTGTGTGTGTGTGCACGCAAACAGTCTTACAGCATTCTCAACATCCGCACAGTAAATTGGCAGGAGATGGTGTGAAAAGATAAGCTGGGTATGAGCGTAGGTGAACAAATCTATGATGATCAGACATTTAATCTGATATGGTGCCTTGCTTTGTTGTTCATTTTACCAGTTTTGCCTCTCCCACAGCACACTTTTTTCTTTCTTTCACATAAACTGTCTCTCTCTCTCTCCGTGCTCTTTCTACAGGGGACTTTAAAGCTCATCCTAAAGACCTAATTGTTGCCCCCTGCTGGCTGAAAGCTTTCAAAGGTAATGAACTGCAGCGGGCAATTAGAAAAAAGAAGATGGTGGGAGACAGAATGATGACTCAGGACAGGCACGACTTGGAAAAGAGGATACGTTTCCTCTATAGACGCTTCAACCGCACTGGCAAACATCGCTAATGCTGGACAAAGTGCAGAGCAGCCAAGAAGGACTGTGTCAGTCTGTTGGTGTGATTTCATGCTGTCACTGTGTTCTGTTTCCATTTTTCTAGGTTATTGCGTGTTTCAGACTGAATGTGCATTATTCATTTCTTATCAGTAACTGGTTCAAAATAAATGCTACTAAAACCTGAAAATAAATTATAAATGGACTGGAATTTGTGGCTTTTTATTCCTCGAGACCCAACGAACATTCAGATAAAGCTGAACTAGTCAGTCTGTAATTAAAAATTATATCATGGGATTACTTTGTGAAAATAGGCTCTAGTGCAAAAGTCAGAAAAAGCTCAGGATGAAATGACCTGTTGAAGTAGCTGATAAATTCAGACGTTTAATACAAAAATCATTTGGAGGGTTTCTTGAGTTAGTTTGAGGTCTGAGAAACTTTCAGAGCTTTAACTTTTATCAAGTGAAGTGAGTAATAGTTTCACCTTGTAAAGGACCTTGAATGACTGTAGTCTTTGTAAGGTGCTGTGTGAATACATTTGCCTCGCCTGTTGATCATCTCGTTATTGCAGTAATCTGATGGGTAAGTTTGGGTCCATGTTACTTTGGCATGTGCCACCGAAGGTATTACATTGTTACAAACCAAGCTTGTAGCCAAGGTCCTCCACAATAGAAGTGTTAGTGTGCCCTGCAACCTTGCTTCCCAAATTCCCCCAAGCTAATCCAATACAGGTTTCACAGAAGCCAAAGGACAGCCTCAGAGTTTCTGTGGGGTTGGTGTTTTGTTTTTTTTTAGGATCAAAATATTAGGCAGATGGTTTTACTGTTATGTCTGAAACAATGGAAATGCCTAAACATGATGCACATGATCTACCATTTCAAGGCTAATGGGACTCCATTGTCTGAGAAGATTTTCAGTGAGACAGTGCACTCTGCATGCAGCAATTTTCTCCTACTCCAGAGCACTGCTGAGCTCGCTCATTGGTGTTCAACCATAAGAAGGCTTTTTCCCACACTCCAGTTCACTCCCAGGGTGTTTGATAGGGTGGAGGCTCAGTGCAGGTGAAGTTCTTCATGCGGGCACTTGTGTTAAAACAGGGAAAGCACTTCCCCTGTCTCCATAGTGCCATGGGACAAAAAGCAAACAGATTATTTCTTAATTTTTCTCCATATACGTCATCAAATTTTGAATAAACACTTCAAAGCTGTTCTTGCAGCTCAGACAAATGCAAGCTATTGTAAGGAACCTTGAAAAGGGAAAATTCCTCAATGAGACTGAATGTGACATCCTAAACAAGATCTTTCGGACATACTGCTTAACTGTAATTTTCTTTTTAACATCTGAAGAGCGTCACATTCTAGTATGTTTCACTTCATTGCTCTACTGACCTTTTTTTTTATTTCCCTTGAGGCTTTTTCTAACTCCGCTCACTTTAATATGCATAAGATTTGATTCAAAATATGTAGGACTCCATTAGTTTTCAAACGAAAGCCGTTGCAAAGAAAAATGGGATACAGGATCCGAAAGAGGAGGGAGCTGGGAGAATCCCAGGCCAGGGAGGAAACAGTCGAGTCAACACTCTGTAGGCATTCACGGTACCGCAGTGTCGTCCCGCCGCCCTATCCGACACAGAGCTGCAGTACTGCAAAGTGTGAGGGGAGAGAGAGGGGGGGAGGGGAGAGAGAGGGGGGGAGGGGAGGGGGTGCCGCACTGTCGTTACGAGTCCAAGTGGTGAAGGCAGGAGCAGAGACGCATTATTGCAGTTGCCCACAGAGCCACTTTGCACGGACAAAACTCGCGTACCTCGCATGCAGCGCGCAGTGAGAGAGAGAGAGTGAAGAAGGCAATCAGAGACAACAGATTTCCTGTGACTGCACTTTCCCCCTTTTATTGTTGTTGTTATTATTATTATTTTATTTCAATCGCAGGTATTCTGTCAGTAGCTTTCAGAAGAGGCAACTCAACAACCAGCCAATCAGTGCTGCGTCTCAGGATCCAGGAGGGGAGCATCACTTGGAGGAGCCGGATGCAGCTCTGCAAGAATACAAACATCCGTGGATTTCTTTTGCATGGATTATAATTTGGAAGTACTTCCTTCCTGAGCTGGCATCGCTCCTTTTTCATTCCCTGCCCACTAATCTGGTCACACAGTGAATTATCACCCGACCTGTATACGTGTCTCAGTATTGCAGTACTTTTGGTGACGGCTTGCAGTATAAAAGCATCGCTAGAAGATCGGCTCCACTGCGCCAAGAGCCTCCGCCTCAGTTTACTGTCAGTGCGCCACTTCAGTCTGTTTACTAATTAAGCATCTGGACTTTCCTTTGCACACGTGCCTCCGCTTTTTCGTCTCTTCTGTAATCTTTTTGGGGGGTTTTTCTCTCTCGCGTTGTACTTCAGACCCTCCTGCCTCACTGCCAGTCACCCCTCCTCCGCTGCCCGTGAGTCAGTTCAAACAGCTGCATAGAAGATGTGAGTATTAATGCGGCTTTTCCATTGCGCTCTTAAAAAAAAGAAAAGAAAAAAAACCAAAAAGAAAAATTCAGATATCTAATATGTGGTGGCGGAAGAACCCACATTGAAACATGTTCATTTCTTTATTTTCTTCCACTGGCGGTCCGAAGTGAGATGATTTACTTTCAGCTTGAAGGGTTTTTGCTGACGCAAGCGAAAATATTCCATCACTGCTTCGCTGAATTATGTATTCAGAGGTTGACTTCTGTCTCATACAAAGCCCGAGACGGGGCTGAATGAGTTGTTTTGGATGTTTTTGTGTCAGATTTAATAGAAAGCAGTGTGTTTTGTGGTGCTGGATGAGTTAGAAGGATTTTGTGGGACTTGGGGGTCATCATCTGTTTAATGCTGTAAAACGTGAATTTTTAAAGGAAACTGGGTTATCAGTAGCTTCCTTAATGCAGAATTTCTCTTAAAAAATATTGTAAATTTTCATCCTGCAGGAGTTAGTTTATCATATATTAAACTGTCGGGAAGCTGCCTCTGCAGAGGTTTTTTGCTCAGGTTTAATTCTCCTTCCTCTCCCCTCCTGCTGGATTAACCGTTTCCTCAGTTCTGCCTCACCTTTTCTTTTCACTTCCACCCATCTCTCTGTAATCCATCATGAGCAACATCTGCCTTCTCTTTTTCTTCCTCCCCAAAATGTTCTCTCTCTTTACTCATCCACCGCCATCCTGTGGCCTACATAGCTTTTTTTAAAACCTCTTCCCCACTCTCTCGCATGCACCCCTTTCTCACTGACCCATTAGTTCATCATTTCTTGCTAACATCTCTGCCTACGTTTGCTATTTGCAGGTTCCCTTCCTGCAAATTACACTCTTGACTCTTACAAGCCTTTAGACAGGGCATTTTTCCTTCTCAGCATATTTCAAGTTTCTTTTCAGATTTTTATAAAAACCTATCCATTGTTGAATGTGAAACGTTCTGACTTCAGCCAATTCTTTCTCTCACAAAACTCTCATTGTTGTGCTTGGTCAGGTCTGCCCCAGATGCTGCCCCACCAGCTGGAGCTCCTGGAGCTCCAGGTGCCCCTGGCGCAGATGGAGCCCCAGCTGGCGCACCTCCTGGCCCTCCCAATACCAGCAGCAACCGCAGGCTACAACAGACTCAGGCCCAAGTGGAAGAGGTGAGCTGTTCTGAGCTTCTGGGTCGGAATGCATTCTGTGTAGAAAGTCACTGATGTAAAATATGCATGAGCTACAAACTGCAGAAGAATTACCACTTACGAAAACGACATTCCCATCTATTTTCCTCCTTTACTACCCCCCCCCCCCCCCCAAAAAAAAAAAAAAAAATGCTCTCTCATCCTTGCTGGATTGGTCTAGGTGGTGGATATCATGCGGGTGAATGTGGACAAGGTTTTGGAAAGGGACCAGAAGCTTTCAGAGCTGGATGACAGAGCGGACGCTCTCCAAGCTGGAGCCTCCCAGTTTGAAAGCTGCGCAGCCAAGCTAAAAAACAAGTACTGGTGGAAGAACTGCAAGGTGGGCACATTACTGTGGCTCCTTTACACAGATTGGTAAAACAGAGAGAAACTTATGGTATCATCTGACTTAGAATTAACAAATTCCTATTAGTATGTGTTCTGGCATGCAGAGAGAATAGAGGACAACATAGGAATTTGTTAATGAGCTGCTGTAGAGCACTGAAGTGATACCTCAGGGGAAATGGGAGAAAGGCATCTGCTATTGTGGAGTTTTCACTCTAAACACTGAGGGGATTGTATAACTAAGCCACAACAAACACAAAGAGCCTTTTAAGTGTCATAATTGTTTTGTTTTGTGGTTCAGATTGGTTTCTATTCTGTTCGAACATAGTGAAACCCTAAAAACACAGCTTCGTGTATTCTTCTGTAAAAGGATGAAGTCTAAAATTTTCATCTTTTTTTTTCAGATGATGATCATGATGGGTATCATTGGAGTTATTGTGGTTGGAATCATATTCTGTAAGTAGTTTCATTCTGACACCGATGCAAAAATTTCCACAATTAACTGATTACTTTCAAAATGTAGATAACCATCATGCGTCGACTTCCCACTCAGCATGGCTATTTCCACTTGCGCACGTGAGAAATTTAGAAATCACTAATACATCAGTGTTAGAACTGATACTGATGGGGTTTTTTATTAATGTAAAAAAAACAAACCCCATCAATATTATACATATAAGACAACACCAGCATAATATTATTTCGGCTTTAACAACCCCACATTCCTACATAAGGAGAGGTCAGTGTGTCCTCTGCCTGTTTAGTTTTAATGATGTGTTGCCAGACTCATTAAACTAATTACTTCTTTCCCTCTCTCTTTAATTCACAGTATACTTCTTCCACTGAGCTCAGCTCATCAGTACAGATGAATATGGACTTGAGGATAATATGAAAGGGGAGAGGCAAAAAAAGAAACCCAAGCGCTGCTCCTCAATTTTGTCAGTCCTCTCCTTCCTCTCTTCACACAGTCTTCCATCAAACCATCTTGCACTTAAACATTACATTAGTGTTTATAGATGTCTCTGCTCTCTTCGTCCTCTTTCCCTCCCTTTCCTTGCTGCTTTCTTCCACTGTTTTGACTTGAACTCTTGCTCACTCTCTGCTGCCTCTGCACCTCATGTATTATTGAAGGACACAGCAGGCAGAGTCAAAAGAGGAAGGAAGGAAGAAAAGGAAAGAAGGTAGAGGGAGAACACGTGGGGC